AAACCGTGATTTTTTTTGCGAGAATGTCTCATGACAGTGCGACGTTGGTGACAGCAGCTGTGTGCAGATCAACAATGGATAATATATCGATTGTGGGAGAGAGTATGAGCGTGCAGCGTTTAAAGTGTGGAAGTACTGACCTTACTTTGAGTTTGATTCCATAAAAAGTGACAAAAACATTAGCGTCCATCGTGCGTGGGAAGAAAACTTCTTTTTACAGCGAAAAAAACCCCTAAACTTCCGAGCAAGCACCGAGTAGCTACGACGTGATGGGAAACTCACAGAGACACTCGCGCGGATTCTTCAACTGACCGCAGCACACCGACACCAGGGTAACCCTCCGCCTACCCTGCTCCTGCTTTACAGGTGAAAATAGAGCAAAAGGACCGCTGAGTCTTTGACTTTATTTATTTTCTGCTGTGTTTTACTTGCATCTGTTTGAAAGAGTGAGTGAAAACACAAAAAATATTTTATTTTATGTGCTGGAATGTGTAGAAAATAGGTTTAAATGTTAAACTAATTTATTCAAGTCAGAGAATGTTGCATATAATTAAATGTTTTGCTTGATGCATAAAGTTAAAAGATTAAAACTGATAAAACAAGTTAAAAAAAGAGACTTTTCCATTTGATTACATTTTGTATGATGGATTATGTAGAAAAAGTAGAATTGGGCTGAAAGATCTATCACTTTATCACCTCTTCAGGTTGTAAATCGTGTTTTTAAAAAGTAACTAAGTAACTAAGTAATTAATTACTTTTGAAAATAAGTAATCAGTAAAGTAACGGGATTACTTTTTGGGGGGAGTAATCAGTAATTAATTACTGATTACTTTTTTCAAGTAACTTGACCAACACTGGTCGTATGATGACATATGTTTTTATACTTTCTGTTTTTATGTGATATTTATTTTTATCCCAAATATCTGCATGAGGTTGGGCCTCAGGAGATTAAAAACAGGTGATGGGTCACTGGTGACATGGTAGATGATGAGAGGTTAAGCAGTTAAAATGATCTCTTACAGCACTGGTACTCATAGCATAAACACATTTCTTTGCCTTTTTTTATCGCTGACAGCAGAACATCTGTTTATCTGCTCTGCATACAGAGAGCAGGTCAGAGGTGAACGTTGACTTCATGTTGAAGAGAACAGAGAAATATCAATATTCAGCCTCTTCGCTCATCTTTCATGGACATATTTAAAGGAGGAGAAAAGACTGTGTTTGCATTCACTTTAATAGCACATGTTTGCTTACAGCACTGAACCAGCTGGGAAATCAACAAGGTACTAAATGATTAAAGCTCGGGGCAGGTTGTTTGCCACATTAAGCATATTTGTAGTTATTTCTCAATATGATGTTTATGAGGATGTCCAAAGACATGCAGATAGTAGAGTTGGGTTAACCAGTGATTCTAAATTGACTGTAGGTGTGAATGTTAGTGTGAATAGTGGTTTGTCTCTCTGTGTTAGACCTGCAACAGACCGGTGCCCAGGTTGTACCCTACCTCTCGCGCTATGGTAACTGGGATATGCTCCAGCACCACCACGATTTGAATTGAATTATCTGGATGGATGGAGTTTAGGACTCTACTGACTTGCACACATCTCTTGCATAACATCTCACCAAAGTAATACACAAAGCTTCAGCACTCTATGCTCGAGGCAGGATGGACAGATGAGCAGTCTTATAACTGAAGCAGTGCTGGTTCTCAGCCATGAATGAATCTGATGTGAGACAGCATTAGACTTTCTGAAAAGGGAAACTTCGAACTGAATAATTTTTTGTTTAAATTCCACCTTCCGCCTACACAGTCCCCAGAAGAAAAAGTCACTATGATCTCAATATCTCTCACTCCAAACATGTTTAATATCTCAGTTCTGCTTTTGTTGTCACTGTTTTGATGGAAATGAATGTGGTTGGCAGCTTCTTGGCACAAATCTTGTGTGACTGAATTATCATGTTGGCTGACATTTTTCTCATGTATGTGCTTCTTTATGTCCTGTGGCCATAATTAGATTGGATGTGACATTCAGAGAATTTTCCTTTGGGCTATTTTACTGAATATGAGAAACATGAAATATTCCAAACAACATCCAGCATGTTTCTAGTGAAATGGTACTCAGACGAGGTAAATTATTGTTTTGAATGTTATCAAGCACAGTTTATAAGTTCATGACATCTGCATGATATGTACATTAATTGTCCATTAACCGCTGGAAGCCCTCAGGGACGTGTCTTCTGTAGCCTCACTCCCCTAATGATTTTTTCCACTGTGTGTTGTTTGATGTCTGTCTTTGATTGAGGGAACCTGTCGGCAGATGGTGGAATTGTACACACACTCTCTCACACATCCATGTCATTAGTAATCATTTTCTCATCCTCATCTTTTTAACTGCCAGATGAAGGTGTGTTGAAGAGGGGTCCTATTTCACTGCAGGGCAACCTGCACATGGCAAATAAAGCCTTGATTGATTGATTGATTGATTGATTGATTGATTGGCTTCATTGGTTACCACATGAGGCAGATGTACCAGGCTTTGTTTGAAGCACATGACATATAAACATATTGTATTAAAACCAAAGAATATACTTGAACATAGATGGCCGATCTTGTGTGCATCATCAGTATCAGTAAAAAACTAACATCCAAGGTTCTTCATTATAATGTTTTTTGAGCAGACCTCACAGTCAATCAAAACCAAAATGGTTTTGTGGCCTTGGGGTGATGAAATCAGAATGAAAGTGCCACACAGAGTGCTGTCTACTACCCAAACGTGACATGCTAAAATGACACCAAAATGAAGAGGAGGCTAGAGCGAGGAGGGAGGAAGAAAAACAGGTGGTGAGGAGGAGTGACAGCCTGGAAGTGAAGGAAGACGGAGTGATGAGACGAGCAGACGTTTCAAAAGTTCAGCAGCTGCTCCTGAACGCCGTCCTATCCCTCCGTCTGTGCGTGCATGTTTGTGTTTACCCTGACTGTTGGCCTATTAGCCGTCCCTCCACATGTGGGTCCATCTGGTTCATAATGAACATATGGACCAGATGGACCCCCTATTTCACTCTCTCCAGGTGATTTAAAGTGTCTGTTAATTAGAGCTGATGTCTCATTTAGTCTTATTTTCCCCCTTTCTCATAGCCACAGTTAGTTTCATCTAAATGTGCCATTTAACTAATTGACTAATTGTATAATTCATGGTGGAGTCCCTGAACTGTCTGTTTACCTCTGTGTGTGCCTTTTTGCTGACTCTTAGATGAGAGCAATAGTCTGTCTTTTACCAGGAGTTTGCTAAATACTTCGAGGAGGAATCCTGTTTTAAACAAAGCAGGAAAAAAATTAAAATTAGTCAGATCTGCAACTCTTCTGGCTACCCATCAACAATCATTAAAAAAAAAAAAAACAGCTGTTTGTCTGAAGGCACTCATACCCACTGAGATTCAAACTGCCATCACTTTTTCTCGCCAGATATCAGACAGTTCATTGCTGCAGATGAAAAACAAATTTATAAAATTAATCTGGATCCCGAAGTTAGACTCCCCTGACTGTTCAGTTTCTGTGTCGAGATATTGAAACTTAAGACTGCTTAACAAGATGAAAATGTGACAAATCAACATCAACGGTCACTCACCGAGAAATAGTCTGATCCCAGCAGATGCTGCAAAATCCACGTATATGTTGATTCTTTTGTTCATTAAAACTTTTGTTTAACAAGATGCAGGATCATTAAAACTACATCTACTTAATGCCCACTGCTTTAATCCGTGAATTACACCTAACCTCATGGACCAAGAATTAGCCAGATCCCTCCAGATACTGTTAATTTAAAAGGAAAAAAAGTTACGTTTAGTCTATTCATTAACATCTGAAACTTAATAAGCCAACAATTCTATTGCTTAACAAGGAAGAGGTTCATTAAAACCAAATCTCCATAGTAAACACTGTAATCCATGAATTAGACAGTGCCACACTTCTCTGGATTTAGCCAGATCCCATGGGTAATTTAGACAGAGCTCATTAAATCTCCACATGCTTGCAGATGTCTATTAAAACCTCGAAACCAGAAAAGCCAATGAGGAGAGGAAACAAGAAGAGGAGTAATGGGAGGGAATGAAGACAGCAAAGAAAGGAGAGAAGATGAGACATGGGATTGAGGAGAGATCAAAAGAGAGAACAGAAAACATCGAAAGATACACAGTGGACACAATTAGAAAATAATCACGAGGACGTAAGCAGAGAAGATGGGCGAGAAACTGCAAAAGCTGGATATGGTGAAGGTCCTGAGGAAAGAAGCAGAGAAACAAGATCAGGAAAGGAACAACAAAGATTCCAGAAAGCACCGTCTAACTACAGCTGAACATTTGTTCTACATATAAATGTTTAACTAGAATCTGTCAAAAGCTGAGCTGGAACGACACCATAAAAGTCGAAAAAGACAAAGAGACTCCCATACTGTGCGAGGGCAAAGCATCCAGTCCTTTTACTAGGAAACATGTTTTAGTGAGATTCACTGGATTTCTGGATCTTGGTTCAGCTTTGAAATAAAACGAATAACAGCCAAGTCAATTTTCTAGTTATCATAGCCGCTTTATCTTTTCTTTGACCTTTTGCGTGTATTTTTATGACATAAGGCTTAATATGCACACAACACTGTGCTACATTAATAATACATTAAAGTGTTCTATGTGCATGCAGTCCTATTATATCGTGTTGGCTGGTGAAGGCTGGAATATGGTTGCTCAAGGCTAGTTAAGATGTTTTGATCATTTTCAATGAGAGGATCCTGCAGTTTGATTTGGGTCTTTGTTGACTATCAGACCACTAATATAGTCCTCTACTAGTAATATCATTTCTTTGTTTTCTGTCACTCTGCTGTCAAAGTTTAAGAGGTTTTTCAGTGGTGCCATCCACTGAATCAGCCTTAAATACTGCATTATCACAATCATCATTCTCATGATCAAAGTGAAATATAATACCTGAAAAAGTCCAATTTTTGTGTTTTCAGGAGAAGCAGCGCTTCTTGACTGATGTCCTTCATGAGGTGATGCTGCTGGATGGCCTGAGTTCCTCCCATCCAATCTCCCAGGAAGTGGAACAAGCGACAGACATTGACCGCGTCTTTGACTGGATTGCCTACAAAAAAGTAAGAAACCACTTTCAACAGAAGTAAGACTGTTGCACTATAAATGTACCTGTGTGATCATGATCGCCAGTGAATGTTTGAATACCTCTTCAATGTGTTCTTTTTTATTATTATTATTATTAATGATGATGATGATGATGATGATGATGATGATGATAATAATAATAATAATAATTATTATTAGTATTAGTATTATTAATATAAATAATATTATTTTAACAATGAAACTTCAATATGTTCTTGTTTTCCAAGCAGACTTGGATTAACTTATAAAGGGAGATCTTCAGCTGCCGTTGGTTTAGTTTTGTCTTTTAAACATGATCAATAAAGTTGGCTTTTTTCAAACCATACATTTGCTTCTAGACAACCACAAACACTAAACTGAAAATTCAAAACTGCTATTCACACATTGTCTACATACTTTGACAAATTGGGGTTATATACTTTAAAACAGAAGAGAGCGGCTGGTAGGGCAGCTTTCCACCCCTATTCCTTTGAAGATCAGCGCTGTCTGAACAGTTTAACATGTGGATCTGAGCCAGTCTCTAATTTCAAAGTTCACCAAAGGTGACTCTTATCTACTTTTCCTCCAGTGATCACAGCAACTTCAATGATGATGATGGATGATGATGATGTTTTTAACCGTGTCTGAAAGTGTGTTTTTCTTTGCTCTCCGTAGGGGGCGGCACTGATCCGGATGCTTGCTAACGTGATGGGGCAGCCGCTGTTCCAGAAAGGACTCAATGTAAGTTCCCTTTGCTTTGCAAGTCCAGCTGTGTATACAGAGGTTTTTAAATCAGAGGGAACAGCTGGGTTACTGGGCTTTGAATTGATTTATCACCAACACAACATGGAAGGATTCATAGAAACAGTGTGTGTGTGTGTGTGTGTGTGTGTGTGTGTGTGTGTGTGTGTGTGTGTGTGTGTGTTCAGCCATAGTTTAGCTAAATCCTAACTGTCATGCTGTGCATATAGATGAACAGGGAATAAGTACCTTTGGCTTGCGGGGCATTCTGAGAAGAAGATTTGCCACGTTTCCCTGTCGATATTGCGATCAGTTTTAAGTGACCTGAATTTAAGCTAGATGCAATCAGAGCAACAAAATGCAGATATTTAATACACGTTTAAAAGGCGCTGAAATTGTAATACTCAAAGCATAGATTTACTGATAGTGCAGAACAGGAAGTAGGACTTTAGAAATACTTATTATGCATTCCTACTGTTATGGTCTATCATGGTATACCTTGGATAAGTCATCAGTCTGTCACGTGGTTGCAATCAGATGCAGGCAATAATGAGTAAATCCTTATTATAAAAAGTACCCTGCATTCCCTGGATTGTTTTTAGTTCTCTCAAAGTTAATTTGGGGACAGGTTTAAAAAACTGTCTAGAACACTGGGGAGGAAGAAGTTATTTGGGGACATAGGAGTTATTTTTTGTAGAACTCACAATTTTAATAGACTTTTACACTGTAGTTGTCACACACAGTCATGAAGCAATAGCTATGTTAACTAACTCTATGTGTTGCATTGTTTGTTGTTCAGCTAAATGTAGCTGCTGTGTGTCTCTTTGAGGGTTCAAACTGTGATGGTGTCACAGAAACACGAGAGCAGCTAAAGCTCCAATCGCACCAACAGGGTCAGGTAGTTTATTGCACAGGGAAACGCTTTGTATCCTCCAAATTGGAAGGAGACTGTTTGCAGTTACAGTAAAAATGACAACGTCTGATGTAACATGGATGGAGGTTAAATATAATTTTTACTTGGAATGGAGTTGCAGAAATATGTACGAATCCTTGCGCACGCACGCACACACACACACACACACACACACACACACACACACACACACACACACACACACACACACACACACACACACACACACACACAGACACTGTCCTGGTTTTCCTACAGAAACTGTCAGTGACCTGGAACATACTGAGAGCCAGAGTCTATATAAAATACTGCTGATCCAGCAGCACAGCAGGGCAAATACATTGTGTGTGTGTGTGTGTATGTGTATGTATGTGTGTTATGGAGGTCTTCACACATGCATTGTGCTGAGCATAACAACATACTATATAATAAGAGCATTCGTTTCAGTCGCCAGCAGAGTAAAAAAGTTTCGGGAGAATGTTTGCTTCAGTAGTTTGGTTCATATTAATGACAACAACAAAGACTTTCTCGATCGTAACCTCTTTGTCAGAGCGTTTCAACACCTAATCAGGTGTTTAGTGAAAAATACAGCGTATAACAAACCATGCCAAACAACTGCAATGCCATGTGATGGAGTCTCATTCTGGTGATTTGTGGCATGACGGGAGCCGTAACCAAAATAATTCATGATCGTCTATGCTTTTCTTACCAAGGATAATACTGTAACTTTTAATGCTTCATGAAAGGAACCTTTGTGACGTTGCACACATATTAAAGTTGATGCATTTGAGAAAGAACAGTGAGAAAATCAGCCTTCTGAAAGTCACGGAAAAGGCTGAAATTTCTGTCTAGGTTTCATGTAGATTTTAATATTGTATATACATGGAAGGATTACTGTACCAAAGGCCCAGGGGCATCAGGCCTCCCTAGCATTACAAGCTCTGTATACTTAATATTTTCTTTGTGAAGAGGCATGTAAAAATGGAAGCAAATCTATCCCATAATGAGAAGAAAATCAGATGGAGACAAAAAAACACCAAAGAGACACAAAAGGAAATCAAAGAGGCACAAAATGACACTAAAGCTCTGTCAAAACAGGAGGCCAAAGAACTGTGATCTACGGGCTTCTTTTTTGTTGTTCCACTGTGACAAAAATGACTGATACATATACTAAAACCAATGTTCTGTGCCTGTTTTAAAGAGAAATAATAGGTTGAGAATATGTTAAACTAGAACACATTGGGGAATTTTTAAACTAGATACTCTGAAATCATTTGAGATGAGATGAATCTCCACAACTGGCCATATGTCTCTATTTCCTATAATTTGTCTTTTTAGGCAGTGTTTAGTGTGATGGATGAAATGCTTTGGGAGCATTTAGGATTTTTAGGACGTTTGTGAGCATTCTTCAGAGTGCTGTAAGGTTTGTAAATGTTGTGGAACATAGTGACATCTGGAGTACAGAGATATGGATTTATGGACTTCAGCTCGGGCTAAGTGTACTCCAGCTCAATCAGCTGTGTGAAGATCAAATACTGTGCACAGCCCATGTCTGTAGTGTCTCATCAGCTTGGCTTTAATTACATTAAAGAGCGGCCTTTGGTGGACAAAAACATCAATATTGGTTCACCTTTTCTGTATCCCTGATCTCAAAGCCTGATATGTAGAGCTTTCAGAAAAATCAAGAGTTTCCCAGACTGCATCTGGACTTGATGTGGAAAGATTGTGATGATTATGGTTGCCCCGATGTGACTTCAGTGTGGCACAAAACTTGAAACCTCATTAACAGTTATCAATACTTACTGGAGAAGATGTAAATAATGGCCTGCAGTGATCATTGGGTTTTAGAGCCTTTCTGAAGCCCAGAGGAGCTCGACTGAAGGTGAAATTGAAAGTTTATGCAAGTCATCTTCCGATGAGGGAAAGCAAGTCCTCATTAGGCTCTAACCCTGCCTGCAACAATCGAAATGCCTTACTTAAACTCCTACACCTACTGATTTCCTCTAATGACCTTTGACTACTCATACCCACAGTATTTGTTACACAGTGCTTATTATCACTGAAAAACATTTGGTTCAAGGTTCATCACACTGTTAAAACTAATGGAGTCATGCTCTCGGAGTGTGTGTGGGGGCTCTTTTTATCTGCCTTCATGTCAGATATAGTGAAGGTGGCAGAGCCAAACTCCCAAACGCACTTAGTGTCGTTATCAAATATGTCATCTTGTTCCAATAAAAAGCTTCCCCTTGCCTTATCGAGCTCAAAACGCACCACAGCAAATGACTGACTTGAAGGAATCCACGCTTAAACACACAAAGGACACAGGAATCGCTGAGAAGGAGATTAGCGCTCAGCCTCCATAGCTGTTTTGTTATCTAGTAGTGCTTCCCTGCCTTTTCCTTGTTTTACTATGAACCAAAGCAACTACCACCCTCCCTGAGCATTTACTCTAAATCCACTGTAGTGGGAGTGAGTTTCTTGCTCTGGAAAACAGACTGGGATCAAGTCGGACCCGAATGTCACTAAAGAACTGCAGGCTGAAAACAAAGCCACCACACCATTAAGCCTCTTTTGAATGAGAAAATGGCCCTGAGGAGTCTTCATCTTGTTCATTAGCTTCGAAAATGTAAACCAGGGAGTTTGAGATTGAGCCCAAAACTCTTTGGACTTGACACGGGCTCTTCTCTAACTCAAGCACTACTGGCTCATCATGTCACTGACTTTCAAATGTACAGTTTCAAATACATGTAAATGTTCCTCTCAAAAGGCTTTTCAGAAATTCATTCAGACATAGGTATCATTAAATTTCCACCTGAGAGAATACCCCTGAATTCAGCCAGTTACAGCTTCACAACTGCATGGCCAAAATGAACAACCTTGTGCACTGTGGGTAAGAGAGACTTGGGAGCGTTTTGAGATGTAATATGTCCCCATACTCCCATCACCAGGTCAGTGTGACATCCAATAAAGTGCATCAGAAGTTGACATTTTTACTTCTGCTTAATAAAAATGGTAAATTAGAGCCTGGTGTACATAACAGCCTGGTGTTATAGAACCTACTTTAAAAAATTATGCTTCCTTAGATTGTAGTCATTGTACTGCCATTGGCATCTTCTTATAAATGGTTTTGGCTTCCATCCATCCACTTCCTACTGGAGCACCAATCGCTGTCGTGCCCTCCAGCCCTTCCAGAGGCTAGTTAAAAACACAATTCACCCCGGTGTATCCTCATTCTGCCCCTGGAGCCTCCTGTTATTGGACAGACTTGAAACACCACGGATCCTCAGTGTTTCCCACAGAACTGGATTCTGTTTGAGTTATAATATTTAATAAATAATAATTACAGATAAAAATGTCCTAATTTGAAAATATAACAAAGCTTGAAGAGGCACAATAATCAACTGCCTCTTCAGGGATACTCTCACCCCATGATCTCACTCCAACTGCATTGTCTTGGAGAGCCTTTAGTGAAGATAGAGTGATCCTTTTATCACTCTTATCTCCAGAGCTCTACAAAGACTGCCTATACCAGCTCATGTCTAGCACAGGGGAGGAGGACAGCTGACTGGTGGACAAAAGAGTAACCCAAATGATGTCAGGAGCCGCAGAGAAGCAGCCACCGAACTATCAAAGAAGGGGTCTGCTGTTTAATTGATTGTGGAAGGCATCTTTCTCTTAACCTGATGGGGAAAAATTAAAAGGTCAAAATGAGTCACGAAATAAAATATGCCAACTGTTTTTTCTTACTTTTTTCTTTTGTTTTTTCTTTGTTTTTTCTTTTGTTTTTTTTTTCTTTTTTCTTTTGTAATACCAAGCCAGCTAACAAAGGTAACATCTATGTGGGGAAAATACTGGAGCCTGAACCACCTCCAATCCTTGTTTTCAGAGCAGAGATGGCAGTAACAGAAAATGTGAAGTAACTTCACCTGCACAGCCCTGCATCCAGAAAGTATGGTCATATTAAATTTCTAAATGGAAATATCTTGTTCCAGTGGCAACATTAATAAGTCATTGTACATACATGGCACTTACTGTGGCCAGGGTTCAAATACATGTCACAGTGAAGGGTACTAGACATTGTGAATGAATCCTTGCAATCTTGTGGTGCCTGCCGAGAACCAAATAATCAAAACTGTGCTCAGGGACATGGTAATAAAGGACTCACTTTATTTTTCTGATTCATTGGTAGAGAGGACCCAACAAGTGCTAACTGTGATCATCCTATTTCCAGATGAAATATGAGGATGGGGAAAAGATAGTTGTTGTATCAAGGCTTCCAAATTCTCTGTTGTGAACTGCATGGTCACAGTGTCGAAGGGAAAAAATCAGCCAATAATTATACCAGAAATATGACATATGTATCCCAGAAAGTTCATTCTGTTCATGTCAATGTTGCGTTTTTAGTGGGAGAAATGTTTCGTCACTCATCCAACTGACTTCTTCAGTCTTCTTACAGATGAACAGAATCAGCTTTCTGGGATTTCCTAACCTGGATGAATGTGCATGCATCAAGATGATACAACAGATACATCACATCATACCAGTGTTGCTTTAACATAGCTTTGTCTCATTGTTTTCAGGATTATCTGCTGAGTCACATGTACAGCAATGCTGCCAGAGACGACCTGTGGAGGAAACTGTCTCAGGTAACCCTCACCTGACTTTATGTCTATCTGGTATTTAAACCTTGTGTACTTCCCTGCCCCAAAGGCTTCAAGGCAGAGCATTTAACTTTAATGTTAGTGCCTTGCTCAGTAGCAGGTATTAAAACCTGTAACTATTCCTCAACTGGCTCTGTTGGGACAGAGCTGCCAGACTGATTGAAGCTGTTCATTCTTTAATAAAGCACTTCTAATGAAGATGCTCATTATCACCTGACTTAGTGAAGAGCCTGTTGCTGTGGTAACATGAGGTGGAGCTTGTTTTCTTGTTTGTCCGACACAGGAGGGGCAATGATTTGATTAATTGAGCGTCACTTCTGTTAGCACTGTCAATTAGACTGACACTGCTTTTTAATTAGCTGCCAGTCTTATATCTAATTATGTCAAGGTCAATTTTCTCCCACACAGATTATTTTAATCACTGATTGGATGTGTGTAAATTGGTCATTATTAGTCATTGATCATTTACGCTACGTGTGTGTTTGATTCTGCTTTAAAGGCCATGCACTCAGAGGGCCGAGATATTGACATCGGGGAGATGATGGACAGGTGGACTCTACAAATGGGCTACCCTGTTGTCACCATCAGCAAGAACCAATCAGAGCAGCTCCCTACATATTACATCACAGTCAGCCAGGAGCACTTCCTGTATGGAGAGGAAGTCAGAAAAAACAACAGGTGAGGGAACTGAAAGCTGTCAGATCTTTTAATAGTCTGTTATTTCTCAGAGATTGTAATAAACTATATGTCATTTTATTAAACTTACTTTGATGCACCCAAGAGTGATGGAAGCTCTACAGTAACAAGATGGCAATTATAATCGAGTGTAGCCAAGCTAACAAACTAGCACGACAAACATTCTGTTCTGTTAGCCTGTAGTCTAATATTCATTTGATGCCCATTAAAAACTACCTGCCTTGGTAGCATTAGTGGGTTAGGGTTGGAGATGTCTGTACATAATGCACAGCAGCATATTTGTAGAAAACCAAACAGAGCATGTCAGCACAAACACCTCAAATATTCCTTCAGACTGATGTGAGATGCTGAGAAAGTCATACAAAAATCACGTACAGTGGAACCCCGACTTACGAAATTAATTTCTTCCCGAGGGTCTTTCGTAAGTCGAAAATTTTCGTAAGTCAAAGCACCCATCGCGCCTTTTGAGTGAACGATAGGCTATAGGCTAATTGCTAACTGCAACAACAATACGTCCAAGTGGAACAGCGAAGCGCAAGTACGAAAGCCAAGGGGGTTGTCACATGATTCAGAAGGCATTGTGGGCATTGTAGGCATTCTGGGCCCAGCCAATCAGAGCCAGTGGATTTCATTACGTGGGCATTTTGCTGTAACACGGGCAGAAATATTGCCGTTAAGCGCCTTCGTAACTTGAATTTTTCGTTAAATGGGGTATTCGTAAGTCGGGGTTCCACTGTACTTCAAGTAAATGCTACTAAAGAAAGTTCTACAAGCTTGTGAATCAAAGACTAAGTTGATTTTTCATAGGACCACACTCAGTGAAACTCTTTTTCACTGTATGCTTTCAGACGTGGCTACCTTATGATTGACAAGTTTTTACTGTACAAGCCACCACTCTGTTACCAGGCTCAATCAGCTCTAGTTGAGCAGTCAACAGGAGACTTAAAAGCGATGTGTGCTGTCATTGTAGCTACCAGCAGTGCATGACTGCAGAATCTTTGAAATATTTGTAGTCCTTTTTTGTAAGTGTATCCAATTTATGCATAAAAAGTTTGGTTAAACAAGTTTGAAAAATGTTAGTTAGTTAGTCACTCTGGTTTGTCCATATGGCCCTTCTACAAATGCCGTTCTTTGGATGGACCTAATTTGTAGCTCTAAGAATAGGCATTATGGAGCTGGAGTCTCTGGACACTAGTTGGCCTTTAGACTGCTAGTCCTATTCCTGACATGTCTCTCCATCTGTTCTTCATTCAGTCATTCACCGCTGAAACAATTCTCCTGAAACCCCTCATTTCACGCTACATTAGGCACTAAGTTTGTCTTTCAGTGATCTTGCTGGATCTTTTTTCCTGAAAAGGCACTTTTCCTGTTTCCTCTCTCATTCTTTACCACCTTTACATCTTTTATACTTCATTTATATTTGATTCCAATCATGTTTTATTCACATCTTTTACAACCTTTGGAGTTTACTCTCTTCTGTTTTATCGACCCACTTTCTTTTCCATCAATACTTCATCAGCTTCCTTCCTTTTTTATTTCTTTACTTTTACCTGTTCTTGTTTTCTCCCATCATTTATTTCCAGGTCTTTCTCTCTCTCTTCAGTCTGTCATGTTTTTGTACAGTAGTTGACATTTACAATGACTCTGACCTGCTCAGTTTCTCAACAAAAGTTTCCTCAGCTTTTCTTACGTTATGTTCTTTTTCTTGTCTTTCATGTGGAGTCTTTTGTGTTTCACTTGAGCTGAGAATCGCTCTCGAGGTCTCATCAGCTGATGAACTGAAGCTGTTTGTTGTAGGTGGAGTTGAAATCTTTCTTTTGCTCTTGTTGAGTCTCGCGGGGCTGCGTTCAGACACACTCAGCGGTCCCAGGGCATTCACCAACACTAAAAAGAAACTGCTGCTGTGCTTTTAGTTGATTCGGCATCACGGCTGAGTGCAGCCGGGGCTGATGCTGCTGTTTGATCCAGCGGAGCTGTGTTTAGAAGCACAGCAGTGTCCCGCAGTGTACACGCTGTTGACTCAAGCCCAGACTGCTTTATTTAATTATTTATTATCAGTATTATTTTCATGAGAAGAGAACTCTTGGACATGCACTAAATTGTGTGCAGGTTGTCCAGTCTTTCAATAACTTGGGAACTCACAACTTTTCTGGAGAGAAAATACTGATGTGGGTTCATCCAGCGAATGATCATTTTGCTGAAGGTTTTTGAAGCAGTTAAACTGGCTGGTTTTCCTGGGATTCAATAGTTCTTCTTTAAAGCTTTAAATTCTTGTTGTACAATTCAGACAATTGTTGTCAACACTTTCAGTCTCCAGTTCTTTTAATGGGACACTGTATGAAGGAACAATATCTGGCACTTTTGCTATTTTGCTGTTTTCTTTTATTACTTAAACAAGTCAGCTGTCGGAAAAAGCTCATCATCATCGCTTCACCCTCATGGTGTGTTTAGACCAAATGCAAATCCCTCTTTTCCCATGATTACATATAGAGATACAAAATTTGAGCTTCAGTCATCTTCTATGGACAACCAGCCCTGTATCATTCAGCTTTGATATGAAAACAGAAAAAAATAGGAAGGGAAAAGTTTGTAAAATCAGAGATCATTATATATCTCACAAGTGTTCATTTCTGTGCAGATTGCACCTTCTCATTTTCCTTTGGCTCTGCTAAAAAAATAACATCTTATCGCAGATTATTTTCTGCCACTGAGAACCTCATATACCTTTTATAAAAAGGTACTTTAATTTAACAATTAACTCTGATTATAACCTTACTCCAGTTTTAAAAATTGTATGTTTGCAGGTCAAGATGACCTGCTCAAACTGAGCATCAGAATAAAGAACAAAATTGACTGAAGTTACTGAAGAATATGGCATGAGTGTTGCTCATCCCAGCAGATGAGCAACAATCACACCAACATAGACAAGTTTTTCCACTGTTCCCTTGGTTACTGTAGTTATGCATTTCACTACTTTGCTGTTGATGACACCAGCAGAGCACTTTAGGCCTGGTCTGGTCTCATGGAATCTATTTTAGACATGGAGGGCTTTTTATTGAATTGTGTTGGAGTAGTAGGAGTAGTAACTCTGGAAAAAAAACCACTAAAAGGGTACCCACTGTATTCCCACATGATGACTAAGGTCGTGACTAAGCATCAGTATGTGCTTGAAAGAAAGTGAGGATGGTTTTGCATAGACTTCAGATCACATAATGAGTTTTAAAATGTATTTTTAAAGTCTCTCGTGACAACCTGGAAAGGCTGGTGTCCACCGAAGTACAGGTTAGCACTGTTACCTCACAGCAAGAAGGTCCTGAGTTCAGCCTGTGTGGAGTTTGCATGTTCTCCCTGTGTTTGTGTCCAATGACAAGCGGTTAGTTGGGTTAGGGCAATTGGTAACTCTAAATTGCCCATTGGTGTGAATGGTTGTCTGTCTCTTTGTTAGCCCTGCGACAGAAGTGGGCCTGTCCAGGGTAGGCTCCAGCCCCCCCGCGACCCTGACAATGATAGGTGGAAACGAATGGATGGATGAAAACTAACTAGCATGCTAACTTACCTGCAGCCACTCATAAACTGAAATCCAACCAGCTGTCACATTAGCGTGACAGGCAGTTATCTTTGTATCCAATAAATTTAAGTTGGAGAGGAAGCTTTTCATTTACATAACAAAAAAAAAACCAAATCTACATTTTCAGACTTTTTTTGGCATTTTGTTAACTTCAGGTATTAAGGTGACATTTTGAAGATCACGGTTTATTTTTGTCAAACACATTCTTCTCTTCCTCTGGTGTTGTGCTTGGAGACATTTTAAATTTGGGTCTTTTTATTTTTCCACCATCAAACAACCAGGGAGATAAATGCCTTTAAAAGAACTGAAGTGACAGGCAGAGGGAGAGAGACGATGAGGACAGCATGAGCTAACGTTAAGGTCGAGGCAATGTTACTGAAAATAAATCAAACAGTATCTCAGTCAGGATTTAACAGCTCGTTTCTGTGGTGTCTCGTCAGCTGACGGGTAAACAGTGATGTGATTGGAGAAGCAGTGTCTGTGTGCTTGATTTAATGAGCTTTAATGCTAAACAGGACAGTGATGAATTATTCATGAGTCCACAAAACCACAGTTGAAGGAAGTATTTATATACTGCTTTACCCTGATGAGCCAGATAAGTATGACTAAACAAATTTACCAGAAAAAGCTCCTCTTCTTCTTTTGGCTGCTCGCTTTAGAGGTCACCACAGCAGATCACCTCCATCTCACAGTATTCCAGTATCCTCTGACAAACCAATCCTCTGCAAATCCTGCTTCACTACATCCATGAGTCTTTTCCTCCTGCCTGGCAGCTCTATATTCAACATTATGTCCAATATGTGCACTATCCTTCCTCTGGACATGTCCAAACTATCTCAGCCTTGCCTGTCTCCAAACGGCTCAACCTGAGTTGTCACCCTGATGTACTTATTTCTAATCCTATCCATTCTGGTCACTCACAATAAAAATCTTAGCATCTTCAACTCTGTCACCTCTAGCTCGACCTTCCTTCTTCTTGTTAGTCAGACAGAGGAAGCAAAGTTGAAATATAAAAAGCTACAGCAGCCAGAAATTTAGAAAAAAGAGACCCTAGACCCTTTGCTGCACCAGACATCCGTGGGACATCACTGTGCTTCATATCGGTTTTGGAGAGGTCTGCACTGACTTTTTGTCCACACATTGTTATCAGACCCCACACTCACAGGGGAAAGTCTTCGTCACAGCTCATTGCATCACCACACATAACTAACCTTGCGGACTACTTTGTGACTTGTTTGATCTGGTCTCAAAACTGTATTTGTCCCAAAATCTCCTCAAAGTGCATCTTTAAAAGAGCCTTGAAAAGGTAAACACAACACCTATTGGTTTGTGAATTCACATTTTAAAAACTTGACTTTGATATAATGTCCATTGAAATGTGGACTTTTTTTAAGGAAGAGGTGTCACAAAAAGT